TGACCAATGTTCCCTCTAAGCTGAGCGCGTGAGCAATCGTGCACTGCTGACATGGTTTAACCACACAGAAAATCTGTGGTGCGCACAAAAAAAGAATCCAGCCTGAATTGGAATTAAAGTAAATACATGTATTTATTTTATTTTGCTGATTTTCTGTGTCAGCAGTGCGCGATTGCTCACGTGCTCAGCTTAGAGGGAACAGTGCACGTGACTCTGAATCCTCCCTTAGTTATGCTGCAATAGGCTGCTGGGGGATTCCCATGATGCATTGAGCATTTTTTCTTCAGTCACCTTTCTATCCTCTGCATTGAGTCACTGGTTATTATTAATCTCTGGCTCTCTCTCACACCATGTCTTTTGTCCTGTCTTCCTCCACTTACCCCAACTGGTCACAGCAGATGACTGGCCCTCTCTGAGAAAGTTCTGCTGGAGGTTTCTTCCGGTTAAAAGGGAGTTTTTCCTTCCCACTCTCGCCAAAGCACTTGCTCATAGGGGGTCATATGATTGCTTGGGTTTTTTCTGTTGTATTATTGTACGGTCTTTACCTTTCAATATAAAGTGCTTTAAGGTGACTGTTGTTGTGATTTGGAGCTGTATAAATAAAATTGAATTGAATTGAATCTTGTCACTGTGCTGTCTTTGCTATTAGCAACAGTACTTTTTTTAATGCCAAAACCCAGTTAGTACTGGCACATTATGTTAGGAAATCTGGTCTTAAGCCTCTTTGCTTTTGTTTCCATTATCATGGATAGATGTTGATAACACTGTGGCATCTTTTTAAACTCAGTATATCTTTTAAATTAAACATAAGAAAATTTCTTGTTTCCAGTACACGTTTTGGAACTTCATCCCAAAGAATATGTTTGAGCAGTTCAGGAGAGTCGCCAACTTCTACTTTCTCATCATATTTCTGGTTCAGGTAAAACATTTTCTTGCTCACACTGACTGAACTTCACTACAAGGCTTCTGCAAAGCATGTTCTAAAGATAATTCATATTTTTCCTTAAGGGAGATTTTTCCTTGTGTGCTGTTTATCTAGAGACGTCTGCTTTCTCTTGAATTTAATGGCACTTGCATCAGAAGCATACATTAGAAAAACTCAGCAGAAACATCTCTTTCTATGAATCATTACAGTCAATCAAAGAAATGTTTCACGTAGAAACATATTTTTCTTTATGCTTCATTATTGACATGTGCAGTTCAATATACAGAGAATGGTTTCTACCTTAAATTGCTCAAAGCTGGGAAACTCACACTAAAACTGTCGTGATAGACCAGAGGAAAAAACGTGTATATGGGATTTCAGGGTGAGATGTCACTTTTACTATACTTATTCACCACTGTGAATAAGGGAACAGCTTAAAGTAGCTCCACTCATCATATTTATGTTATGTTTATATTTTTGTTTAGTGCCATAAAGCACATGTTTTATTGCCTATTTACTGCTGTCTGTCATTTCTATATATTCTTCTTCCCCCGAAACCTTTTCTCTCGCTGTATGTTCATGTGTGCGGTCACTTCAGTTGATTATTGACACTCCCACCAGTCCGGTCACCAGCGGACTGCCACTGTTCTTTGTCATCACAGTCACCGCCATTAAACAGGTGAGTTCACCTAATGTGACTGTTAACAGTAAACACTACACCAGCAGCCACAGCTGCAGGCACACATGTTCACTTTTACATCCTCCTCTCTGTCTCCTCTCTCTCTCTCTTAGGGTTATGAGGACTGGTTGAGACACAAAGCAGACAACGCTGTCAACCAGTGTTCTGTCCACGTGGTGCATCATGGCAAAGTGGTCCGCAAACAAAGCCGCAAACTCAGGGTGGGTGTGTGTGTGAAACCAGATAACTCACTCACCCCATCTAACAGAGCTTTGGTGCATTTGTTTTAGTGGCTCACACTGAGGAATTTTCCTGCTACTAATCCCTCTGTATGTGTGTGTGTGTTTGCCTGCATTTAAAAGCAATTTAGCTTTAAAAGAACTTAGATTGATGTTTGTTATGTAACGACATAAGACTGAAATAATATGAGCTTACTGCTGGTAAGTCATTAGGTGTGTTGCATTTGACTGCATTTTCTGTTCAGTGACTGTATTTCTCTACTAAAGTGCTGCTAGGACTCCTCACTGATATGCTCACTTAGGTGGTCAGAGCCAGGAGGGTAGTGGCAAATTAGACCCCGCTATACCGGTGAATTCATTTAAATATGCAAAAGGCTCCAGCTGTTGGCTTCAAGGTATCAAGGCCCTGCATGTATTAGAAGTAAACATTTGTTGTCTCGGTCTGTGTGACAGGTTGGAGATGTGGTCTTGGTGAAAGAAGATGAGACTTTTCCCTGTGATCTCATTCTCCTCTCCTCGTCTCGAGATGACGGGACCTGCTTTGTTACTACAGCCAGCCTGGATGGAGAGAGCAGTCACAAGGTGTGCTGGATAAACTTAATCCACTTAAATATGTACTAGATGCATTATGATTTGCTGTGATTTATGTTTTTCTCTGTCCATTCATCCATTCATTCATCTAACTCTTAATCCATTCCCTTATTGCTTTTCTTATTTCCCGTCATCTCCCTTCTGCCCTCTGTCACCATGCCACAACGTGTGTCTTTAATTCTTCTCCTCCTGTGTTGTCTTATTACTTACACTCCCATTATCTTTCTCTCTTTTTTCATTTACCCATCCATTTCTTCTGTTTTCCTTCCCTCTTCCAACCTAGACATATTATGCAGTTCAGGAAACCAAAGCTTACAACACAGAGAAAGAGGTGGACACGATCCATGCCACAATAGAATGTGAACAACCGCAGCCAGACCTGTACAAGTCAGTAACACACACACACACGCACGCACGCACGCACGCAACAAAGTGTTCTTGCTAAATAAATGTGCCTTATCTCACTTCTTTTCTTTCCCACACAGATTCGTGGGGCGTATCAACATCTACATGACCAATGAGCCAGTGGCAAGGTAAGATAACACAAAAATATTACACTTTTATATTAAAGATCATTAAAGAAATCAACATATTTCTATTGTATTCACCCATCATTCAAAAATAAAATTCAAAACCATCCAGACATGTATTAAATTTCTTTGATGACAAAGTGATGCTGCTCAATCTTTCAAAGAAGATTTTGCATTTCTGCAGAATGACGGCTTAGTGCGAAGCTTACCTGTTTATCTTAATTAGATTTCATTGAGCACAGCATTAGTTCACCTCAGCTGCAATGCCAGCAGATCAGCTGATAACAATCCAAGCCCCCATCAGCTGATGGCTCACCTGATACACCTCTGCATCTATTTGGCAAATCTCTTATGGAGTACACTACTATTTTTTCTTTCCCTCAGTTGCTGCACTGCTGCAGGATGCTTTGAAACCCACTTTTACTCTGCAGCTGACTTTTTAAGTGTCATGTCTGTTGTTCTTGAATCATGCTTTTCCTTTGTCTCTAGCTTTCTGTATATGTGCATGGAATGGTGGGGAATTCCCAGAACAGAGCCATGCTGCCAGATATAAAGTTATTCAGATGGAAATGGCATACCTTATTTGCCTCTTAATAGATTCAAGATTCTTTATTTGTCACATGCATAGTTATACAAGTATAACACGCAGTGAAATATAATATAATATAATAATAATATTATAATAATAATAATATTAGATCTTTTTGTTTGTGAAAGAAATAAATGGTTGTTTATCATCTGGACTGTCTGCAGGCCGTTAGGATCAGAGAACCTGTTGCTCCGAGGAGCCACACTCAAGAACACTGAATATATCTATGGTAATTCTACACAATTAATGATAAATGTTAGAAATTACCTGAACTTTATACTTTTTAATATTCTTTTTTAAAAAAATGTACAGTGCAGCATTTTGAATGAGACTTTTCCTTTTCCCCTCTGTAGCTGTGGTCATCTACACTGGCATGGAAACCAAGATGGCTCTCAATTACCAGTCCAAGTCTCAGAAACGATCTGCAGTGGAAAAGTAATCTCTTTTTGTTTTTTCCTCTTTCATTTTTATATTATATTATGAATTGTTTCTGAAAGGAGCCTATTAGCAACGATCAGTGCTCTCATGCAAGTTTCACAGTGTGTGGCTTCACAGTCTTTGGCTGTTTCTGTGCTAACACCAGCTTAGATAATAACTGAAATTTTTCTTACCCGTCCTTAGAGCAATCTGTTCACTTCTCATGTCTTCGTTTATTCATTGAGACTTAAGCGTCTGTGTGTGTCTCTTTGGCTCGCTGCGCTGACTGGATCAATTTTCTTTCCATCTGGCGTAGACAGTGTCTTTGTATCCAGATGTATAAATGAGTGACTGTAGGTGGATTTCATTCACACTTGCTCACTGCGTGTGTCTCATTAACTCGTCGGCTCATTGACTCAGCTCAGAGTAAACGTCTTGTCTCAGCTGTTCCCCTTTTCAAGTTTGAATATTCTGACGAGTATACTGAGTTGTTTTCCAAGTCTTTTACACGGAGGACTGGGTTGCGAGTTTTTCTGGGTTCTAGTGCTTTTATTTTTTTAGTTCCTGTTTGTTAAAATCTCCAAATGGCCGACCGGCAGTCAGAAATCTCTTATGGATTGTTTCTAACTCCCTTTCAAACTACTTTCATTTGCACCTGCACACACTTGTGCTTTTTACACTCTCAGCCACAGTGGGAAATGGTACCAAAATAGTAGAAATAGTACCACGGCCCCAAGCTCCGCCCCTTATTTTTTTGTGTTTGCACTCATGAGAACATGTGTTATCACCAAGAGAAAAGAGGGATGACACACAAGAAACACAATCATAGCAGCACGTGCTACACTAAAGCTTAGAACCTGTATATGTGAATTATATAAACATGTGATCTGGAGCCACAAACTGCCATGCTCCATCTCTCCACTTAGTCATATTAAATTCTACTCTGGAGGTTGTGCGTAATCTTTCAGGGAAAGAATAAAGCACACAAGTCATAAAGACAGATCAATGCAGGAAAAATGTAATGAAGTTAATGGAATGTTTTAAGGGAGTACTTAAAGGAGGCACAGACTCCTCCATCCTTGGCAGATAGTTTCCATAATCCTTTTTTTTTTCAATCCAAATTTTTGTCCACATTGTTCAAAGCAGATTAATGAAAAACTCATCTATCTATCACTATCATGAAGAAATATGTCACAATCTTTAACTTCTCCCTCTGCAGGTCAATGAATGCCTACTTGGTGGTCTACCTGTGCATTCTCATCAGCAAAGCTCTCATCAACACGGCACTGAAATACGTGTGGCAGTCCGACCCCAACAAAGACGAGCCCTTTTACAACCAGAAGACGGAAGTTGAGAGACAGAGACACGTTGTGAGTCTCGAATCCTGGAAAATAAAAATATTTCGATCCCCTCTTTATTGTCTCACACTCGTCTTCGTTCTCCTCCTCCTCAGCTAATCAGGGCGTTCACAGACTTTTTGGCCTTCATGGTTCTTTTCAACTACATCATTCCCGTGTCCATGTATGTCACTGTGGAGATGCAGAAGTTCCTGGGCTCCTACTTTATTATGTGGGACGATGAAATGTTTGATGAGGAGCTGGGGGAGAGAGCTGTGGTCAACACATCAGACTTGAATGAGGAACTGGGGCAGGTAGCAAAGTGCACTGGGCAGACTAATGAGCAAAGAAACTGTATGGAAAAGTGAGTTAGAGATAAGAATAAAAAACACTTACCCTGCTTTCTTTCCAGGTGGAGTACGTGTTTACAGACAAGACAGGGACACTAACAGAGAACAACATGGAGTTTATAGAGTGCTGTGTGGATGGACACGTTTATGTACCTCACGCTATCTGTAATGGACAGGTAAAACGTTCAGTCCCGCTAGATTGGTCTGTTAAGATATTCAGCTTCAGCCATGAACTTTTCTTACTACAAGCCTCATTCATACACAGTCCTACAAGCACTTTCTTTTCTGTGCTTAAGCACTTTGAGCCTGACGTTCACATAATCACACTGCAGTGGATGCACCGGGGGAAACTCAGTTCAAGGTTCAGGTATTTTGTCCAAGGATACTTTGGCATGCAGACTAGAGGAGCGATGGATTGAACCACCAGCCTTCCAATTAGTAGATGTTGTGGGTGTTTCAGTGTATGCATGAAAGAACCACAGTTTGTATGGATGCAGCTTGCTAATAAGACTTGCTGGATAATGTTGTGCATTTCTAAAGATACAAATAAAGGCACTCTAAAGGAGATTCCAAGGGTGGTTCAAAACCAGTTTAATGATGCCACACTACTTCCATCCTTTATATACAGTCTCTTTGGACAAGGTAAAGATCGATCAATGTTTGTGATTGATTCATTTATAGCCATTCATTTATTTACAAAGAGTTCATATTTTTATGTAACGGAGGTGTAAAAATCAAATGACAGAAAGGCAACAGTTTAGGCCTATTTTAGGTTTTTTTTGTTTGTGTGGGTTTTTATTTTTTAGATCTAATAAAAATCTGTGAGAAGAATGTAACATTCATGCGTTTAGTAATTTCTGTGTTTCAATGGATTATTACAGATTTCCTGACAATAAAACTCCTGGGCATTGTGCGTTTAGTGTAATCATCTGTGTTCAGTGCTTAATGGTCATACGAGGAAATCAAATTGTGCCTGCAAGTCTTGCTGCTGTTTATTGAGCCATATGTCTATTTGTGTTTGCCAAGTAACTGATCATGAGCATTAATTGACAAGTCAGCAGCTCATACAACCTTAAATGTGATGAACAGACGGTCTGTTGTAATTTTAGGAGGGATAAGTTGTTGTGTTGTAATATTATTACAATTTACTCCTTTTAACATAGGACTTCAAACATCAGAGTAAAGAGGTTACTGTCACATAAACATGGGCATCGTGCTGTATATGTCAAGCCTTAGAATCAAGCTTTAATACTAAAATGCCATATGTACATATCACCGTAGCCTGTGATTGATAACCAGTGACCCCAGAGTGATCTGTGGTCTGTATGTCTGTAGGTGATGCCTGGAGCTGCCGGTATGGACATGATCGACTCATCCCCAGGTCCTGCAGCCAGGGTAAGTGCAGACTCGCTTTGAATGTGCGTGGGTGGTTCGTGCGAATGAGGGTAATCTAGTGTCGGTCGTCCACTGCAGGAGCACGAGGAGCTGTTTTTCCGGGCGTTGTGTTTGTGCCACACGGTGCAGGTGAAAGAGGAGGATACTGTAGATGGGATCAAACATGGCATTCACCAGGGCAAGTCCACTTCCTTCTACATCTCCTCCTCTCCTGACGAGGTTGCACTGGTGGAGGGCATGAAGAGGTGCAGCACAGACACACTCACGTTGCACACAATGGCAGCAGTAATCACAGCTGCATTCAGAAGAATTTAGTTTTCCCATTTTTCTATTTCAGTTTTTAGGACATTCATTTTATTCACTCCAATAATGGTTGTTCTGTGCTGCAGGCTCGGTTTCACCTATCTGAGGCTCAAGGACGGTCAGATGGAAATCTTAAATAGGGAGGATGAAGTTGAAAAGTGAGTGTGCCGCTTTAAGCAATGTTATTATTCTCTGTGAACCTTGAAAATGAGATGACTATTGTTATTTTATCTGTTTTTAACTTCTTTAATTGATAGTTGGCTATTATTTTTTCAGTAGTATTTGTGTGATTTTCTTCCTGTTTTTATCAGGTTTGAACTGCTCGACGTTTTGACATTTGACTCAGTCCGACGGAGGATGAGCGTTATCGTCAGGGCCAGCACTGGTAATGCGCACAAAGCTATATATGTATATTCTTTATATTGATTTCTATGTGTCTGTGTTTATCTTTTCCTTTAATCCGATCCTCTTTTCTTTTTTCTGTGTATGCGTTTGAGCAGGTGAGGTTTATCTCTTCTGTAAAGGTGCAGACTCCTCTATCTTCCCAAGGGTCATCTCAGGCAAAGTGGATCAGGTCCGAGCTCGAGTGGAGCAAAATGCAGTGGTGAGAGAGCACA